TCCAGTGCCAGGAAGAGAAGTCCCCACAACTTCTGGCTATAAAAACCAGTGGGGATTGAGGCTGAAGGACGCTGAGGCTGCTGGAGTCCCAGGCAGTTCCTGTTAAAGGGCCCATGTGCAGACATTCAGACTCACTCCCTCTGAGCTCCAGCACTGGACAGCAGCTTGATAGGCGTCAGAGACATATGGGGAAGAACAGAACTGTCTGGCATCAGGGTGAGAGCTGGAGGGGCACCTTCCTCCCAGACAGAAGTGCTGGCAGAGGCCGTTGTTCCTTTGGTGAGCCCTGCCTTCACAGAGCCAACAGACCAGTGCCATATCTGAGTCTCCATCAACCTGGCTCATACTGTTTGCCCCACCCAGCTGATTTTGAGACCCTGCCCCACCCAACTTTTGGGCCCACCCAAGCTATTTCTAGTGGTTTTACCATAGAAATGGCCTGTCTTGGCTCATGCTTCACATTTTCCAAAAATCTCTCAAACAAGCAGCATCTGGCCCCAGTGAGGCCCATATCTCTTTCTAAATGGCCCCGGGCCTGGCACTAGCAGTAGCAAGAACTGGTTTACAGCTTGGCCTTGCCTTACCCTCCAAGCCCAGCACAAGTAGCAGCCATCTGCAGATCACTTTGTAACTTACGCCTCGTGGCCCAAGGCAGAACACAGGTGGTGGCTGACCTTGGCCTGCACAACCTGGGAGGCCCAAGAGCCAGTGTACCCAGTGGACAGCTTCAGACCATGTTGAAGCACCACCCAACCACCTCCACAAGTGACTCACTCAAGGGGTGAACTCAGTGGGTACCAGAGCCCTGCTGAAGTAAGTCTTTCTCTGTGTGGTGGGCCCCCTACACAGCTGATCCTCCAAGGTGGTCGGAGGTCGGTGGTCAGTGGTAACAGACAGTTCTCGCAGCTGATCAGCCTGAGTAAATCCCTCCCATTGACATGCCAATAGCAATGAAGACTCAATTACAACAGAAGGGTATATAGCCCACATGGAGGGCATACCTCAAATGCCCAGCTGGGGTAATTAGGGAGGCTGTGCCACTGGACACTTACTACATTAGGCCATGCTACCAAGCCTAGAAGACATAACAGCTCTACCTAATATATAGAAACAAACAGAGGGAGGTGGCCAAAATAAGGAGACAAAAAAACATGGCCCAAATAAAAGAATAGAAGAAAACTCCAGAAAAAGAACTAAACAAAATGTGCAGAGTTGAAAACGCTGGTTATAAGGATGCTCAGGGAACTAGGGAGGACCTCAACAGCATAAAAAAGAACCAGTCAGAAATGAAGGATACACTAACTGAAATAAAGAATAATTTACAGGCAATCAACAGTAGAGTAAGTGAAGCCAAGAATCAAATCATCGATTTGGAATATAAGGAAGCCAAAAACAGCCAATCAATAAAGCAGAAAGAAAAGAATCCAAAACAATGAGGATAGTGTAGGGAGCCTCTGGGACAACTTCAAGCGTACCAATATCCACATCATAGAGGTACCAGAGGAGAAGAGAGAGAGCAAGAGATTGGGAACCTATTTGAAGAAATAATGGCTGAAAACTTCTTTAACCTGGAGAAGGAAAAAGACACACAAATCCAGGAAGTGCAGAGAGTCTCAAACAAGATGAATCCAGAGAGGCCCACGCCAAGACACATCATAATGAAAATGACAAAGAGAATCTTAATCTTAAAAGCAGCAAGAGAAGAACAGTTAGTTACCTACAAAGGAGCTCCCATAAAACTGTAGCTGATTTCTAAACAAACATTTCAGGCTAGAAGGGATTGGCATGAAATATTCAAAGTTCTGAAAAGCAAGGACCTACAACCAAGATTACCCAGCAAAGCTATTATTTAGAATCAAAGGACAGATAAAGAACTTCCCAGACAAGAAAAAATCTAAAGGAGTTCATCCCCACCAAATCAGTATTACAAGAAATGTTAAAGGGTCTCCTTTAAAAAGAAGGAAAAAAATATAAATAATAAAATGGAAATAACTACATATCAAAAGTTACTTTAAATGGATTAAATGCTCCTGTCAAGTGGCATGGTGGATGAATTGATAAGAAAACAAGACCCTTGCATATGCTGTCTATAATAGACTCACTTCAGATTGAAAAAACATACACTAACTGAAAGTAAAGGGACGGAAGAAGATATTTCATGAAAGTGGAAACAGGAGAAAAACCCAACCTGGGTAGCAATACTAATACCAGACAAAATAGAATTTAAAACAAAGGTTATAATAAGAGACAAAGAATGACCCAGCAATTCCACTTCCGGGTGTTTTTCTGATGAAACTCAAAACACTGATTCAAAAAGACATGTGCATCCATATGTTCATTGCAGAATTATCTACAATAGCCAAGATACTGAAGCAACCCAAATGTCCATCAGTAGATGAACGGATAAAGAAGTGGTGCATATATACAATAGAATATGACTCAGCCATCAAAAAAGAATGAAATCTTGCCATTTGTAACAACATGGATGGACCTAGAGGGCATTATGCTAAGTGAAATAAGTCAAACAGAAGACAAATACCATATAATTTCTTTTATGTGTAGAATCTAAAACTAAACAAAAACAAGCAAACAAAGCAGAAACAGACTCACAGATACAGAGGACATTTTGATGGTTTGCCAGATGGGAGGGAGGTTAAGGGGAAGGGTGAAATAGGGAAAGGGATTAAGTCATACAAATTGGTAGTTACAAAGTAGTCATGGGGATGTAAAGTACAGCATAGAGAATATAGTCTTTAATACTGTAATAACTATGTATGCTGTCAGGGTACTAAATTTATTGGGGTGATCACCTTATAAGTTATACAATGTCTAATCGCTGTGTTGCACACCTGAAACTACAATATTGTACGCCAACTGTAACTGAAAAACAAAAATTATTTTTAAAAGTTGTCTGGTGGGGGATTGTAAGTTGTTTGTGTCTGACAGTTTTAAACTGTTCCCTTCCTAATGGTCTGCCCTATGATTTTCAGACTTGCCTAGCCAACCCTGACAATTGCCTAAACCAGCTCTTTTCAGTGAAGCTCTTGATGTATATTTCCTACTGATTGTGTGTCTCTGCTTGAGCCATGACTGATATACATGTATATATCAGTATAATATATGTATGTATGTATATATTCCTGTAACTTGCTTTTTTCCCTAACAATATGTCTTAGAGATGGCATTATATTTAACTGCTGAATAATGTTACATACGATGGATATCCTATGTCTCATTTAATTATCCTGTTATTAGCGAATATTTTAGGTTTTTTTAGATTGATTCAAATTTAAATTTGACTAAATTTATTTTT